CCATAAACACCAAGTACAGTGCCAACCAGAATATTGCAAACATTACAAACCACGTTTTACAGTGCTGACCAAAATATTTCAAACATTACAAACCACATTTTACAGTGCTGACCAAAATATTTCAAACACTACAAACCACATTTTATAGTGATGACCAAAATATTTCAAACATTGCAGGCCATGTTTTACAGTGCTGACCAAATACTCCCAACAACATGCTGTAGGCCCTGTTTAGAAAAGGGGTAAAAAACTGCCATATCCATTTAATTTATGTGAACACTCACTAATAAATTCTTGATATCCTTTGAGAAATCCAGCCTGTATTTTTATAACCTGATGAATTTCTGACTTGACTGCCAGTAGTTTATACGAGTTCACAGGTACACACATTTTCACATGCTTTTTATCATTGTCATCTATCAAAGTATATTCTAATCACTTGTACACAACAATAAGACATATACACAAAGCCACGTCTACGTTTGTAATCCTTAATTGGAAAACAGAATGGAGAGAAAGGACAGGAATTTGTTCTGCTTCAGTATTGAACTTCACCTCACTTGAAGCAGAAATTGGTGCTGTTAACTGGAGTACAAGATATAACACCAAGTCCAATGACTCAGTACTGCATTAACAGCAAAAATAATATCAAAAAATATAGGGCACAAACATTATGCAACTCGTTATAAACATAAATTTTATGTAATGAACATAAAAAGATGAGACAAAAACCTTGAACAAACTCACAGAGAACATATATACATACACTATAAATATCAAGAGAGAGTTTAAGAAAGTGACATGAACAGGTCAACGTTAGTCCTGAGGTGTAAAACAACGAAATCATCTCATATTTTATAAACACCAATTCCCACATAAGCTGAGGCCAGAATATTTTCATTTAACTGTCAACATAAGATGGAGGAGAGCAGTTGCAATGTGCCAAGGTTCACTGGTTAAACTAAACATCATTTACCAGACATTTAGAACATTTCACCAAACTGCTGTGGATCAGTGGCCTTATACAGAATAGACAATCCGAGTATCAACTGGTTCAAGGATCAAATATGGCCGACCCTACATGGAAGGAAGACTACTTAATCCTGTAATGGTCTCTCCGCCTCTCACTCGCTGTCCCATGTGTTGTCCCTGCAGGGTCACAGTAAGTTAATTTCGGCTCCATTCCACCAGATGAGTGGGGAGGCCTCTGAGAGGCGAAGAGACCATTACAGGATTAAGTAGTCTTCCTTTCAAGTAGGGTCCGCCATATTTGATCATTGGACCAGTTGATACTCAGACCTTCTATTCTAAATGGCCCCAATGTCTCAGTTGGTCTTCTCAAACTGATTCACACCACACCTTTCAGGTAAGAAGTGTGCAATAATATAATCCAGCTTGAAAAAGTGCTTAACACTGTATCCACTTACAGCCCCAGCCCTTAATACAACAGCTACTACGATTTATTTCCAAAAAACTTTAATTCTTGAAAATGCAGTACTTTAGACAAGAAAGCAAAAGCATATATTCTAAATGCCAAATAAAATACCCATTACTCAAGCATTGTTATAACCAGTTTACCACAACTTCAAAGCAAACCAATGAACCTTGCTCCAGACCCTGCCAGAAATTTACCAATCCAATAAATATATTGACAGCAAACACTACAGACCAAAGCAACAGTTACCTTTCCTTTTCTTTTCTTCCACTCACACGTCTTAAAATAAAACAAAGTCTACGTATACAGAATTACATATACTTTTCATTGCAATATATTTATATTTAAACAAAGACAATGGATATATGCGGACTGTTCAGACACAAAAAATTTAAGACCGACTGAGAATCCAACATATGTTACTATATTTCTATTTTGATTTCCCATGACTCTAAGTATCAGAAGCAAGATGGTTCTCTGTGAAATATGGGAGGCCACTGAATGGAGTCGGATCAAATTTCGGTCTAAACTTGCCCTGTCTGAACANGGGGGGAGGGTCTTTTTCCATAAAAACGCCATGTACCTAGATCAAATTTTACCAAGAGTGGACCTTTTGTCAGCATAAGAGGCGGTTCTTTCGAAACCCCTGAACCATCCCTGGCTACGGGCCAGAGTCTGAAAAGAATTTTTATTCAATATCTAAGACTAAAGTTTAGATGAATATACTGTAATGGACAGTTTTGCACCCTGACTGTGCCATTGCGGATTTTCCGCATGGAAAATGATGTTGTCCCTCATTTTGACATATAGCACCGCTAAAGGCGCAATATGACTTAAAATATCCGTTAAAATTAGTTAAGAGCACCCATCTAAAAAGCAAATGAATATTTCTCCTTTTCACTTATCGTTTACTCAACATGCAGTCCGACGGAAGCCATACTTGTTTACCCAGCACGTGTAGTTAGGTGTTCTCAGAGGTCCGCGCGTGGCCAGTCGTAAGCAGTTTGAGCGGCCTGTTTTCAGAGTCTTGAGCAGTACGTTTTTCATTGACCTGTAGTAATTTCAGTTTCGATACATTTTTTTGTGAAACGGGTCACACGTCAGCCCTCACACCATCGCTACGCACACTTCAAGCGACATCATAATGTACGTAGACCTTTATTACAAAACGCGCCAGTATGGCGCAAGTTAAAGTTTTACTTGCGAATTAGTGCGTACTTAGAGCTTTACGATAAATTCATTCAAATATGAGGCGAGGTGTCTGTTAAAGAAACTGACTTTAGTCTGTCGGACATGTGGGCCGATGAGTTAAAAGGGTTTTCCAGCCCACAGAACTTTTGCCGGCATATGGCCGTGGTCCGACGGCTTTCGCAATCACTGACAAACTCTGCCATATAGACACAAACTGTGCTGTTACTTGTAGTACACATATAAACAACACAAACTCTGCCATATAGACACAAACTGTGCTGTTACTTGTAGTACACATATAAACAACACAAACTCTGCCATATAGACACAAACTGTGCTGTTACTTGTAGTAGAAGGTGCCTGTGTAAGCACATAAACAACACGCTTCATTTCAAAACTGTTTGCATGTTATGTCAATTTTGATAACAAAGTTGGGATTTAGTTGTGTGTCAAGGATAATCTTATTCTCTAGACTTTCAAGTCTCCTGTCAATACACTACCTGAGATAAGTAATACTTAGTAATGCATTTTATCACTGCCTTCTAGAGGCTGGAGTTCATTATATCTTTTCATTTCTCTTTCATATCACAGTATAAAGTCAGATAACCTTTGAACATTGCAAAATAAATATCAAATCTGTATTATCTTAAGTAATCTGTGTGCTTGCTATGTTGGCAGAGAAGGAGATAAGTTGGCTTAGAGCCAGGTAACTCACCTGTGCCCCCCCCCCCTCCCCCTACAATCCCATCCCTCAATACATCAAGCAGCAGCTGTCAGTAATGCCAAAGACTGCTGTAAACATGTTTTTCCCCAAAACTAAGTGACTGACTCAGTCTTCCTGGATTGAACACAGAAGCCTCTCTGTACAAAGCTGGTTTTACCCGGACTAGTACCTTGGTTGCCAGAGCTGCCTTCATTGTGCTCATTGTGATAGAGAAGATTACTAAGATGTGACTGTGCTGAGATGGCTCAACTAACACAATGCCAGCTAAACTGAGCTGTGGAAATAAGCCTTAAGCCTCGGTCACAACCGGCCATACGGGCTCTTACGGGCTGTTTGCGTCAAAATTTTGTGCAGAATCTCACTTCCCACGCAAGTCCTTCTTACGAAATTTTGAGTTCGTAGACCACCTGTAAGCACGTACTTTCCTCTACCTCTACAACTTCCACGGCTTCCACAACAACCAAAAATCGCAGCGGACGTACGATCCTGAGATTCGTGCGTCTGGTTGTGACTGAGGCTTTAGAAGGTGCAGTGTATTAAATACACCATACTAACATTCAATATATACCTCTACAACCAACCTACTTCTTTTTCTTCTACATCTTTTTCAACTACATTTCCTATTATTTCCCTTTATCTAAAAAAAATACCATTATTTGCTTAAGTAAAAAAAAAAAAATTTCAAAATGTGTAAACTATTTTGTTTCCTAGCATGACCTAGCAGGTTATTATTCCAAACTGCCATAACTTTCACATTACCATCCAAGACCTAGGCAAGAAGATTAGCCAGTTTTTCAAATTGTGTAGAAATGTTAAGTGCGGCGGTGCCCCTGGTGTAACAGTAATTGCAGATACTCTGGCAGTATTACCTACCACTGGTTGCCATGACAACAAGGTTTTCAATTTTTCACAGAAATGTTAAGAGCCGCGGGGTCACTGGTAGAACATCCTCAGCTATGCTATGAACTCTAAATGACTCTGACATGGAATGATATGACCACACGGAATAACACTGGGGCTGGGCTCTGACTGATAGCTTACTAACATTTTAACACACAGAACAACACTGGGTCTGCCTGATAGCTGACTAACATTTTAACTGACTAACATTTTAAACTTATAGACTTCACTATATTGCTGCATTGCTAAATAACTAAACCACATTGTTTTAAGATATATTGTTTTAACTTTTCACCTGTAACAAGGTAGAGAATTCAAAGGCAGCATTCAGCAGGGCTTGGGCATTGACTCAATTTTTTCAAAAAAAAACAACAAGAACTAGCAGCAGGCCATCCTATAGTTCTCTTCTATGTAGTAAAAACATCACAAATGCCATACAGAAACATAGTTTTAATGATACCATAATATGTATCTGAAAGATTGATGACTTTGGCTGATTGAAAGGATTGAGTCATTTCTGTAACTTATGATGTAGCTGGTCTCACTATACTTTTAGATGAAGACTTTGGATGACAATATGCCATCAAAGACATGAACATGTCTGCAAACCTCACTAACCTAACATATGGAAAGTTTTTAAGTATTCTGCAGCAACAAAATACATGGATTAAGAACCACATTTTGCCTTTTCCTCCAGCAGTTACATTTCATTTCCATTTTGACTATTGCATATAAATCTTCCTATTGTTCTTAATGTCCCATAACTCCTGCTGTAATGGTAGCAGACATCCTTGCCAGCAGTGGCTCATCTTGTATTAGGAGAACTGATGATCTTATAAATCAACAGTCAAACAATATGCAGACATTTGTATCCAGAATTTTCATTTGGAAACTAAAATAATGACTCTGATGTTGTCTTTCCTTAACCCAGCATTCTGGGGGAAAATATAGCTTACTATGAATATCACAAGCTGTCTTTTTGTTCCAAGTATTATTACTGCTGACAATGGAGGTATTGTTTTTTATCGTTAGTAGGCGACTAGAAAGTAGAAGTATGATCTCATGATCACTAGAAATTTAACTATAAAGTTAGTGCTGCAATCCAATGAAAACTGTCTAGTTTATTCTAAATATGATCCCCGAGTTGCACCATGCCTTGGAACTGGACAATTTACTCCACTATGTCCCAGCAAATAGGATAACACTGGCCATTAATCAATGGCATTAACGATGGAATGTCAATTTATGACCCTATACCATTACTAGGGGGCTCCAATACTGATACCATGTAGCTGTACTGATATCTATTATCATACCAGACTGTAATTACTGACATTAACAGTAGATGCTCATGGCAATGGAATACTGTTTAAAATTGTTTTATAATTTCTGACAACGAGTTTCACATTTTCCTGGAAATCTGTTTGTATTTTGTTTGCTCATCAAACACATTTTCCCCATCTTCCACCAAACCATTTCAATCCACAGCAATCCACACAAAACCAATCACCCACAATTTTCTTATCTACCATCAGCACATCCCATTCCACAGCAATCCACACAAAACCTATCACTAACAATTTTCTTATCTACCATCAGCACATCCCATTCCACAGCAATCCACACAAAACCTATCACTAACAATTTTCTTATCTACCATCAGCACATCCTATTCCACAGCAATGCTTACAAAACCAATCACACTGTTTAGCCTGGATTTCATGTTAAACTTGTCTGAGCACTTATAAAGGAGCAAACAATCTATTAACCTCAGCAAATGGTTTAACACTTTCATTTTGGCAAAAAAAAAGAGAGAAAAAAACGATTAAGAAACTCAAAAAGGTAAGCTAAACAATTTGACTTTTCACAAAGTTTTGAAGTCAAAAACTCTACATGCAAAAGTGATCCAGGTATAAAATAAACTGCCACCTACCTTGCTTGTATTAATGCTATAACTTGTGAGTAAGTTTTCCCAGTGACAGACTCCCCGTTGACAGAGACAATACGGTCACCTTGGTTGAGTCCCGCCAACTGTGCTGGTCCACCCGCTTTCACGTGTTTCACAAATATTGTGTCCATCGGCTCAAGTGAGCTCAGCTTGGTCCGCTTGCGTTTGTGATCTGGAACAATAATAATAATAATCAATTTTATATTTTAATAATTAACTACCAAGACTGAAGTCCAGATTTGAAATAAATCAAAAGATCCTTTCTGCTCGTTTTTACAATCTGCAACAATAATTCATCAAAAAAAATTTTTTTTCATAGGCAGACAGTTCATGTGAAAAACAGCAAAATGAAATCAATGAAAAGATAGGTAGATGAGTTCAAATCATAAGTTTTTAACAAAATATCTGAAATCAGTACTTTATTATGTTAAAATTACAAAACAGTACCATGAGTGCCTCATTTCATTCCACCAACACCTGTTCACACAAACAAACACACATTCACACATACACACACATACACTTGCCAGTAAGCAAGCAGGCAGGCAAACACACATGTACATACACAAGCACGCACGCACACACAAACATACACACACACACAGGCCAGCAAGCAAGCAGGCAGGCAAACACATGTATTCGTGCACACACACACATACACACACATGCACACTGTTACTCATTTCCCAATATATCCTATGTTTTCAGTCTTACCCCTGTCATCCATGTTGTACTACACCAGCAGCTGTCTACAGTCAGATATCTACTCCTATCTCTGATAGTGACAAGATTTGATATGCACCAAAACTAACTCTTCCCTCTACTGTCCTGCAGACTGCCAGGAAAACTTAGCGCTGCCTCCCAAATTTTGGCCAACTCTGAGCTTGTTTTCCAGAAAACCAGCTCCAGATCTATTTCAAATTAGAGTTTTACTCTTTCACTGCCACTTCTATCCTGGTCATAAACACACTTAGAAAACACTCAAATCAGCTGATGAGCCAAGCCATTACCCAGAGAAGATGCTTCTATTATCTCTTTCCTGCTGTCTGGCAGGCCCCATTTCTTCTCTACACGGCCCTGAATAAGGATAATAGTCTGCCCAAAATCTATTACCCAGAGAAAGTGCCAAAAATGCCATCCCTACTCTTCTCAAGTCTTTGGGCCCTATGATAAGTCTAAGGGCCCTAAACCAGGATATTTAGCTGTCGTAAAACTTATTATATAGACTGAACCAGACTTATCCACTCGCAAAAAAAATATGCTTTAAAGGGGCCTTTTTTTAAGCTGTAGGGCCCTTTATCAGCAAATAACAGAGTTTTCTGGGCAAGCTTCTCTGTAGGCAAGAAAACAACATAACACATTCCCAGGGCGCCAACCATTTATGGGTGGCCCTGTTGTGTTTATCTATCCTTTATTAAACAATATCTGGACAATACAGGATCACCAGCCACAAGATGGATTTTTGATAGAACTAACATTACACCATCCATATCCCTGGACTGCCATTATACTCAGCAGGTGCCCCAAACATGGACTATCAATGAGACTTCACAGAATTTCTTGGGGACAAGAGAGACCTTTCCTTGGAGCAGTACATCACCAGGTAATTGACTGGGTACATGATGTTAACTGGCACTGGGGGCTAAGTATAGGAGCTACAGACAACACAGAGGTTTATGACTCTCTCTACCCGTGGTTATATCACAGTGATGTGGGTGCGTGGGTGGATGAAGGATATGTGGGCGGGAAAAAGGTGGGAAAATGGAAGGAAAGGTGCAGCCGGGGAATCTGGGGGAGGGGAGGGGGCTGTAGCCAGCAGGCAGGTCTCTCTCTCTATCACAAGTGACAGGGGTGGGTTGCAGATAGAGGTAGAGAGGAGGAGGAGGGAGGCAACTACAATTAGTTGATATGGGTGGGCAGGTGGGTGATATCTGGAAGAGGGGGTGGTAGCTAGGAGAAGAGAGTGGGTAGAAAATGACAGAGGAGGTTGGTATAAGATAGGTTGGTTGAAAGCAGGTGTGGGTGTGATAAAGACATGGGTAAGCAAAAGGCTAAAGCCAGTGAGCTATAGAAACTGAGCCTACAAACTTATACAAAATCACCTCTTCAGGAGTCCTGATTGACTACGAAAAAGTAACCAAATAATCAAATGAAAAAGTAAAAACTTGCTATTCCAAAGTGATAATATAAGACAACATAATATAAGACAACATAAGGACGATGTGTCAGAGAGGAGTTTACCAGCCATGAGCCAGGGTTTTAGAAAAAAACTCTGAACATTTATTGTGGAACCAAATACCTTACGTAAATTTTTAAGGGTTTAATTGCTCTGGGGTCATGTAAAAAAGCAGAATTCCCCCGATTCCACGAAAAAAAAACTCCTGTCTGGTCTACCAGCCAGAGCTGTGTTCAACAGGAACTTCTCCACTGCCACACTGATGAATACCAGGTGTTAAATTAAGGGAAGAATTATCTAGGTAAACAACCTTTCAGAGTCCTCCACTTTCTGTGAACCTAGCTGTAAATATCTCAATATCAGAATAAACATGCTTTTAAGATGACTCAGCTCTAAAAATACTTTTTTGAGCTCAAAATATCTTTTTAAAAGTTTTATGAAGTCTAGGGACAAAGTAATGTGACCTTCATCAAGGTCAAGCAGAATGAAAGTCAAAAAATTTAAAACCAACTTTTTTTAAAATGGAAGTCAAAGCAGTGTTGCATCATTTCCTAAAAACATTGTAGAATCTGAAGATTTTCCATGAGGAAATGTATAAAATCTTGACGGAGGCGAACAAGCTCTGGTATATTTGCAGTCAGTGTGTGACCTCCAATAAACGGTGGATGTACAAGTATCTGCCAGGTGTAATGTTCCTTCCAGAGAGACAAGACAACTACTGAAGTCTACAGCAGAACTCACATCACAACTGTACTGAAAACACCTCATGCTGGACCCAAACAAGTCAACTGTTGCCAAAAACATATACAAGTCAAGTAAATAAATATATGCAAACGTACACAGACAGACACATACATACATACATACACATACACATACACACACACACACACATAAACATACATACATACACACACACAAATAAACATACATACATACATACACACACACACACACACACACACAACATACATACATACATACACACACACACACACACACATAACATACATACATACACACACACACACACACACACAAACATACATACACACACACACACACACACACAAACACACACACACAAACATACACACA